AAAAAAAAGGAGTGAGTTTAGGTTCATTCCCCTTTTTTAGTGGCTGTTTTTTTTTTATCTTCCTTGGAAAAAGGGGGAAAGTGTAGGTTCATTCCACTTTTTAGCAGGTGGTTTTTGCAGGACATTTCTCCACAATGTAAAAAAGGAATATATGGTTTAATGATCCAATTATAGCAACAGACACTTTATTACAAAATTCTCCTAAAAAATCTTGAGTAATAAATACTTACTAAATTTATAGACAAACATGCATTTTTTGGCATTCATTCCCACATGAAAATGTACATGTACCAACATATGTTCTTCAAATACACCAGCCCTACTTTGCCATTTTCATCATCCTTTTTTTTCAAATAATTTCTTGAACAGGGTCTGACAAAAGGCAAACACTCGAACATCAGCCTTGAAACTCTATATGATGGTCAATTTATGTTTTCAACTCAGTTGATGACACTAAGTTACCCTGTTATACTCTCCCACCAACACAGCACCACAGTTTCTTTAGAAACTTATACCCTTTATTCATATTTCTTGAACATATTGACGATTTCTTTCTGGAATTCTCTTGCTCTTCACCAGCTGAGGATAAATCTGTCTGCTACTCAGCAGCTTTTTCCTGACTAATAGACATTCTTGTCAAGATTACTAATTAGTTGTTTTACAAAAAGTTTTCTCTCACACAGTACAAGTCTGAAATAAATATATGACAGACTTTAACATCAACGGGTTGTTAGCATTCGAAGCTGTTTCTTTTTCATTCGTTTTATCTTTGCTGTATTTTTAATCTGAAACAAACCAGAACAAAGACCAAATGTAAGCCATTGCTCATTTTGGTAATGTAAACAACTTAATGGAAAGTGATTCAAGTATGTGGCAGTTTTCTGTGTATCAAAGTAGTATGGTTTTCACCTAAAAATTATGGTAGATATGACGTGAGCTCACAGTCACCCACACTGCTACAGGTGACTTTGGTATTTGGAGCATGAAGCATTAAAGAGTATGGCTATTCTACCTACTCCCCTCTCTGGACCCTACTACTGGACCCTACTCCAATACAGAGAGTCCCCAGCATTTTGTCTGATTTTATCATTTGTTTCATTTCCTTTGAAAACTGATTGAAGTTCTCAAAATATTCTGAAGCTTGTTGTCACCAAAGACCACATCAGTGCAACTAGTGGCTAAATTTAATCATTTAAGATACCTTGATTAGAAAATGAAAAACAAATCTTCAATAAAGGATATTTTATGAAAGAGTCGTCACACCTCTTGTACAACTTGAGATTTCTTTTCATTCTCCTCTTTTTGCTTTCTTCTTTCCTCAATTTTTTTACGTTTTTCCTGAAAATAATACAAAACCACCTTAATCAATCATGGCAATCAGAAAACAGTGCATAATAAAAACTAAGTATTCAAAACAATACAAAAAATAACAGTTGGTGGTAAAAAATGATTTTTCATTCAACTATCCTAAAGATCAAATTAGCATGATTAATAGAGAACAAAAGATTGATTATTCTTTTTTTCTGTAACTTTAAATATAAGCATGGTCTCTGCCACCTGCTAACCCTTTACCTCCCATGAGTGACCAAGACAGACTTTCTCCTTACAATATTAATACAATATCAACCAGAAAAGTGACGAGAATAAAGAAAAATTTCAATTTGGGGATATTAGTTGATCCAATACTAAATTCTCTGAACTAACATTATAAGAATCGTATGGTTGACAGTAAGGAGAATTACAAATTTGATCTGGGAGTAAAAGAGTTGAAGCCTTCTGTAAAATCAGAATAAAAGCCTTCTAACCTCTTTCTGTCTCTTTGTTTCATCTCTGAGTTCCTTTTCATAAATCTTCATTAACTTCTTTTCCATTCTTTCTTTCTGTTTCTTGTCCCATGGTGTATGTAATGGCTGAACACCAATAACAGCTGACTTCCTATGAACAGAAGCACAACATAATCAGTCACTACAGTGACTTAAATCAAACTGAACTCAAAGAATAGGCCTATGGTGTCCATTGGAAGTGTCTCCTTTGAGAAACTGCCCAAGCAAAAACAAGTAATCAATTCAGAGTATTTCAGTACAATTTTCTTGAAAATTGTTTAGACATGATATTATAAACTGGTGATAACTGTGCAAATTTCATTCTGACTTCCCAATTTTATTTCTGTCAATTGATTCTTAATTCTTACATTGTACATTTGTTATCATTAGATTTGGGTGTCTTCCATGGGCATAATGCATGTTTATATTACAAAACCCAGTTTCACCTCAATGCATCACTTTCAAGGTACAGACAGGCAAATTTTAAAGGGAAGGTATTCCCAAAACACTGAAATCAATAGAATACCCATATGAAAACAACAAGAAAGTGGCAAAAATAAGTGTAAATCAAGATGAAAATGAAGCTGGGGGATAAATTTTCAGCAACTGGGGTCATTATGCATAAGAGCTCTTGTTAAATGGTTCTACCCTTAGCTGCTGATCACAGGCATGTGGATAATATCATTGTCATCAAAATTATTAGTACCATTTTGTTACCATTATTACTCTTATTACCATTGTATTACTATCATTATCATCATCATCATAATATCGTTACAGTACAATTTGCAATTTGGTCTTTTAAGATTGCTTAGCACAAATTACCAATCAATACATCAGCCTGATGTCTTCAAAGTCTGGGATACTTAAATTCTCATACAGGCTAGTGATAAACAATGCAGATGTACACCTTGAAATTCAGTGTCCAAGACATAATAATACAGCATGATTGAGAATAGGTGTTCTCTACTCTTTAACCAGAGTAAAATTCTCCACTTGACCCCAGATTGCTCTCAGACCAATGGTGCATGAATGAATTGTAAGCCCATTGACTCCTGAGTGTCAAAGAAGCGTCTTCACAAATCATATTTGTAATAAAACTGGGAAAATGAGCCATATTCTTTGTAATGTCTACATAGTCTATGTCAATGGTTTTTATAAAGTAGAAGTTTAACAGTTGAGAACTTTATTTCCTGCCACCTGCCAGGTGGTTTACCAAAATTATTACAAAATAAAACTTGAAGATGAAAGTGCTCATGCCTAAATTACAATAAATGGCACCACTCACTTTGAGGCCAAGATTTTACAATTAGGTGCAAATTTGACTTTCGCAAGCAAGATTTCCAGACAGTCCCACACTCTACTATGCACTCAGTTCTTGTAGAAAGAAAATGGCGAAACTATAGATTAACTTATTAGAGAGTGCAGCTATGTTTTAGAATAGTATGGGGTTATACAGAAATCACTCCTATTATGGAATATTACGACGTTATTAAAAATATTGTTCAGTCAATATTACAGCACGTCAAAGGATATCAGATAACAATCCTTATTTTTAGCCACCATCATCACTCTCTAAGACGTTCAGAGGCGATTTTATCTCCCGTAGCCTTGCGAATCAACAACTTTAAAAAAACCTTATCATTAAATTCTGATGTGATAAAAAGAAAGTCCATTTCGTATCCGATTCAGCGTAAACGTAGTTTGTTCCAAACTATCCATGTTGTCAAGTAGAGAGTGAATAGAGAGTGAATTTTGATCTTTGATTTAAAGGTTTGGTCGCAATGTTGACCTTAAAAAGACATTTAACTCTAAAAGGAACTGACCTTTTCTTCTCGCTCTTCCAAACCCTTCCGGACTTTGGTTTTCCGCGAGGGATACTTTTACGCTTTCTCCCTTCCTCTGTTGTTTTGGGTGCCGCCATGTTGTTCCATGTGCTTACTGACGCCCGCACGTGAGTCAGCAGATTCACCATTGGCTCCACGTCACTTCCTCATTCAACATGGCGGCCAAAACGTTCCAATTTGGACGGATTGTTCTCCAGCCTTCAGTGGTGTTTTTCCACTCCAAATTATCATTTGCTTTTGTGAACAGAAAGCCAGTCCTCCCTGGACATGTTCTTGTGTCTCCTATTCGCGTTGTAAAGAGATTTTGTGACTTAACAGAGGAAGAAGTCATGGACTTGTTCGTTAGCACGCAGAAAATTGCTCGTGTTATTGAGAAAGAGTATGGGGCGACCTCACTCTCGATAGCGATCCAAGATGGACCCGAAGCAGGACAAACAGTGGAACATGTTCATGTCCACTTGTTACCAAGGAAGAAAGGAGATTTTGAAAGCAATGACGATGTTTACAAAGCGCTCGATGAACATGACAAACAACAAATTGAGTCAAAGGGGGTTGAATTTAGGACTGAAGATGATATGTCTAAAGAGGCAACAAATTTAGCTTGTCTTTTTTCTACAGGGCTATGACCAAGTGTTAATTTAAATGATAAGAAATGAGTGCCTTCACGATTAGGCCAGGAACTTGTGTAGTCAAGACGATTCGCTAACTTTCTCTGGTCCAGCTGTTCTGCCTATACGCTTAGCGTGTTTTTGTCATTAGCTACTACTGTTACGAACTCAATCTATGATTTCTACGAGTGGATGGTCAACAGCTGCTATTTGAGAAATGGAATTAAATGTGTTGGATCTGAGCCTCGAGTATTCATTTCATAACGATAGGACTGTTGATCTGTTTCCTTTAACCCCCTCGATTGCCTGTCAGTTCATACATTAAGTACGACCAGTGTATTGGCAAGTCAGTCGGTCAACCCATCGGCATTAAGCTGGATTGGTAAGGTAGTCCTGTAAATGAAATATTGTTTTAACTTTTACAGCTTAAACTCCATTTGATTGCCTATGCCCAACTTTCAACAATAGTTAATAAAGTGAATAAAACTCTCCTCTTTTGAAAAAAGTCAGTTTGCCAGGGGTAAAGAGGTGTAACTGTCTGTGTGGGGAAAAGAAGCGTAACAATGTACACAAAGAGTCGTTGCTCATCCTAAGTAAGCTGTGAGAAGGGAGTGATGGAATGGGAAACGAACAAAATTACAATTAAAGTGGTTATAAACGTTGTGTGAACCTGACTTGAAACTAGAAGCAGTGGAAAAAAAGTTAATCTGTTAATCTTTTTTAACACGACCATAAGAGACATCATACAGCAAGGCAGCAGTGAAGGTATATTATGATACATTAGGTGGAAAGCTGCTAGCAACACATTGAAAAGAGGTAAAAAACAACATCAAAAGACGAAAACAAAGGAAAAAAAACTGTCCTGTGGCTGATGAAAAATACCAACAAGAACACTGGGTGGATAGGATGACATTTATTGACAATCACCAGTTAAGATAACACTGCTTTAAAATTCCGCTTCAATAGAAAGCACCGTTTAAGTAGAAACATTACACATTGAACAGAAAACTTATGAAACCCACTGAATGGAGGCCTTAAAAAGCAGCCAACTTGATCATCAAGATTTGAACAGCTTTAGTTAGTACAACCACAAGTATCATGAATCAATCTTCAACACTCTGTTTGACTTAATTTCTATGTTGCAGTTCACCATCGATCAACAACTGAAGTCAAACCAATTGTCTATTGTTTCTTATTTACTGTTTAAATACAATTATCTATGATGCTAAACCAGTGTTACTTAAAATGATGGTAAGTAACTCTTCTAACTCCTCTGCTTGGTAACCTTCTGAGCCTCACTTTATCGGGCAACAGAGAAATTTTTGGGCACTAATTATCTCCAGGAATTGTGGTTTGCACAGCTGCCACTTTGCATGCTTCATTGTACCTTCCACACTTCCAGCCGCTAGGTTCTTTAAGCTTCAGGCAGATGAAACAGAATTCTTTACCACAGCGACAGCGCATGTGCTTACAAGCTTTAACATGCTCAATCATCATGCCACAGGACACACAAGCCCGTAGAGAGGGGCACCCCACTACTCCAATGATAGTTTTCCTGAGACAATTCCGAAGCATCTTGAGACGTCTGTCCTCACATGAACAGTCTTCATTTCCTAAGATACAAGCAAATTATTTGAAAGTGTGGAAATTATAATACAGAAATTACAAAAAATGAAAATAACTGTTCCTCTACAAGTCACCACTGGTGAACCACTGTATAATTTTTTGCATGTGTGTGGTAAACACACATGCGAAAGGTGGATGCCCAGGGTATCCAGGGGCTCACAATTTTGCCAACCAGTCCATAGATAGAATACCATTCTCATGGATGGAAAATCCCCACATCTCAGTCATGAGCCCTCTTTCCAAACACCCATCAAAACTGATCAGATTAGACAAAGGAAAAAAATAGGGAGAGATGGAGTGGGAGAACGCTTGAAAATAACTGTGACAAAATGCTGATAAACAACCGCCACCCCGCCACCAAACGGCTCGAGAACTCACAGAAGTTAACCGAAATGAATGCATTTTTGGCCAAAGACGCCCGTTAAGTGTGTGACTGGTCAATTTTGATAAATTGTCATTAAGTAAATCATGTTTTTAACAAAAACTACGTACCACACACGGTCGTGCTTTGCTTATTTTTCCATTCGTGCATACAATGCCAGCAAAACTCGAAAGCATTGCTTTTATTCATGCTGCAAATAGGGCAAACCACTCGTATCAGCTTTTTCTCACTTCGTTGCACCATAGAGTTGCATTTCGGACATTCTTGAATACCCATGCCCTTGATCAGATAGTTCCGGGAGATCTTTTTTTCAAACTCTTCAATTTCTTCTTCTGACAAAACAGCCAAGCGACGAACGTCTATGTAGTCCCACTCCTTGCGGCAATAAACGGGTGGCTGGTCTTGGCTGATGTAAGGACACAAAAATTGGGACCGGCCCGCGTCTAAGATACTACGGCAGAAGGCTGTCAGGGATTCTGGAGCTGGAATGAAATATATATGTAAATGAAACAGTAATTTACCAACTGAACAAATTTTTCCTTAATATGCGCTGATCTAAAGGAAGATAACTGAGCTTAGACATTTACCAAGTCAGCATGACGTCATTCATGCGAGCCATCATATTGTAGACTGAAGGCCGTGTTTTGATTTAATCCCTAACACCATGAGCATTAATCAATGTAGGTGAACGGAACAGAGGAAACGGATGATGGTAAGCATATGAAAAAAGTAGTACATTATGTTACAGTATTGCTTTACTAAGTTGATGCTATTACCAACAATGCTACATTCTTAACAGATAATTTCAATTTAAATTAAGGATGAGGATTGTACTGATAAATAGTAATGGACGTTGATTGAATCAAACAGCCAAGGAACACCAAACTAAAGATTAGTAGGGAATAGGAGCAAATGATCTTATCTTACTTATAGCATGCCCGCAAGACATCTTGGCTCTCTTGTTCTCAGGGTCATCGTCCCACGTAATCATATCCGGGTCATTACTCAGTTCCACTGCATCATCCAATTCTTTTTCTGGTGGAATTGATCGTTCAGACCCACCGGGCAGACGAAGAACCAAGAACACGTTGGACTCATTTTGCACTCCGTAATCTGACAAACGTTTACCTATCTCCAATTGTTTTGTGGTGTAAATTGCGCGCATTTGGTCCACTGGTATGCCCTTCTTTTGGGAAATCATAGTGAATAATTCCTTGACGGTTGCATCCTACGCAAAGGAAGGTCAAGAAGATGTAATTTTGAGGCTGTTTAACTGGTGTGAATGTAAACATTTGGGTTTTACATTAAACAGCCATCTTACCTTGTGAATATTTATGGTGGTAACGTCTCGTCTTATGCCGTAAACGAATATTTGGATTAATCCCGGCGCCATCGAGTATTGTATATCTGCAGGGAAATTATGAATCAAGATTTGCTGGACTTGAACAATGGACCACTGTACAATCCTTAGAAAGTGTGCTCACCTTCTGCTCCCTCTCAACTCAATAAGAACCCGATCAGAAACTACACAATCTTGCTAACACAGCAACCTTGGTGAAACTGAAAGTTTTCCAAAGTGGATAATAATAATATAGCTCATTCAAAGCAGTGATGTCACGCATGGGAAAATCCCCGAGTTGTAAGATTTTGATCGTGATGTTATTTCGTTTTTCTGTCGGATTTGAATCTTGAGAGAAACATAAACAACTTAGAACACCAATTTTGCCCTCTTCTCACATCCTTGAAACAATTTTTCGAGTTTCTTCACAGTCATCAAAGATTGTTGTGTAGATAGGGGAATTTGATAATTTGCATTCGTATTAAGCCGAAGTGTCTTTCGAGCTCTATCTTGCTTACTCTTTCCTTTTCGCCTTCGATCAATTTCTTTATTGTGTTCCAGCTAATCGTTAATTTTTTTCTATTCTTTGAGAAAACAATGATGGATTTTACGGCCCAGGTTTTGCATGAAATATCTGGTGGTTTAGTGGCGTGACGTCTGTTATGCATGAGATCATTTTCTAAAAATTCTGTTGCCAAAACAACCAAGGGGTTTACTAAACGGGGATTTTCCCACTTGCACACGCAAACACGAAGAGAAAAAGGAAATAGACTAATTTATTTATTGTGTTCTAGCAAATCGTTGTTTTGTTTCTACTCTTTGAGAAAACAGTGATAGATTTTGCAGCCCAGGTTTTGTATGAAATATCTATTGATTTTAGTGGCGTGACTTCTGTTATGCTTGAGATCATATTCGAGAAAATTGTGCTACCAAAACAACCAGGAGGTCTACTAATGGGGATTTTCCCACTCGCACGCGTAAACATGAAGTGAAGAAGGAAATCGGCAAAAAATTAACAACCTAAGTACAATACGTATTTCTTCCCAAACTGCAGGCATCACGATACACATCATAAATCTAATCAAATTTTCACCTTGCTGTGAAGAAGCTTTCCTTTGTATATCCAGATGAAAACTCAACCCTTAAGCTTTGAAGGGAAATTTCCCTTGCCTTTGTTCTCCTTAAGTTTTCAGTTTCCTTGGGAAAATCCCTTATACTGGGCTTTGTTATTATAATTCTGGAAACAAACTGAAACAGACACCAAATGCATAGGTAAGTCAGGACTTGTAAGTACACACAATGAGCTTGAAAAGAGATTTCATTTCAAGGTAAGTAAACATTCATTTCAAATTTGTGTATGCCCTAGTTCCGAAGTAAATACTCTTTCAATAATTTGTGATTGCAGTGACTTTCAAAATTTCAACTAGCAAATCGTTACTTAAGATTTACCAAGAGCCGGACTTACCGTATTCAAAGACACCTACACGCTCCTTTGCGCTTGACATAGGAAAACCATGTTGCGTGAGGTTATAACACTGTCGGTAGAGACGAAATCAGTTAATGTGCCGCCTTCTAATGTGACTAAGTGAGACCTCTAGAATGTGCAAAACCCCTCAAAGATATTTAAAACATTTAAATACATGTTATTAATATAATAAAGAGTGACTAAGGATCGGGGAGGTAGGTAGAACCATGTTGCATCGCTAAGGAACTGCTTCCGGCTTCGCAGAAATCGTTGTGACGTTAATTAAGCGAACACTTTCGATTCTCTTTAAGGCTTCCATCGCCCAATAGTTCCACTATCCCGTAAGCATCATATATCTATACACAAGTCGATGGCCCAATAAACTGTAATGTTTTCCTTAAAAGGTGTGTGCAACATCTATTTCTTAACATACTGAAAGAGCGAAGATGTGCAAGAAAGTCGTCTGATCGTTCTCCTGTAATAAATCATAGGCAAGGACCAATCAAAATGTTTTTTAAATTCAGAATATCAAGTGATATACAAATATTTCAGGGTACAGAAGGAGCTAAAACAACTGCAGTCCTTACAGCCTCATGGAATCCAAGTAACACTTCCATCTGACAGTCTCCAATTATGGGAGGCTTTAGTGCCAGGACCTGAAGATTCACTCTACAGAGGTGAAGAGATTTCATTATTTGGGCTTTCCAATATTCTGTTTAAGAAAAGTTCTCATTATGTATTTGTATCTGTCTTTCAGGAGGGCGGTTCAAAGTTCAAGTTTATTTACCGTATCCTTTAGATCACTTTTCTCTCTCTAAAATTTTATTTTAATGAGGTGTTCTGGCAAGTTTGGGGAAGAATTGCTACCACAAAGGACCTTTTTCTGACCCTCTCTCCTCAGCACCCCTCTCAGTGAATGCCATGCTTCAGAAGGAATTTCAATCTTCCTGATTTTCTGTGTTGCCTGACGTAGCAGTCACATAAAATTCGGGGTTCCTATCCTTTCAAACTCAAAATTCAACGACTTAGCACAATCTTTTGCAGAGCATTTTTGAGGGTTTCTATAACTAATGATTAAGAAATTGATTAAAAAAATAAGTTATAAAAAAAAATAAAATCGGTTGAATCGTACTTACATATGTTTTGAAAACTTTGCAAAACTTTTAGATAAAAATAGTGAAAAATGGTTAACAAATTCACTTGAGGTATTGGCACATACATCTAGATTTAGGAGTGTTTATAATGGCTAATCACAACTTGTTCAGAAATGATTGAGCATTTTTTTAAACCAATGTCAAGGGAACACACGAAAAAGAGAGGTGACATCGATTTATCAAAGAGTCGGTGTGTAAAATTAACGATGCCATTTTAAACTATGTTTGGGCGACTCGTTTATTTTTACACCTAATTGTTTATTTTTATTTTGTTTATTTCTTTCAATTGCTATTGCAAACTCTCTGAGGCTCTTGGAACCGTATTATTGAAAACTGTTATCGTTATTATTATTATAACTATTATTGTTATCAATCTATTGATTTATTTATATTAATGCGACGTTTCAGTTAATCCTTAACTAATTTCTTATCTCTCAAGTGAAAACTATCCTCTTGAACCACCAACGGTAATACTTTAAAATAAATGTTTTACATGCTTGAGCGCGAACGACTGATTGTCATGGCTGCAGAGATACCTGGTAGTTACCTGGTTATCTCATGATCTTGTTCTCTTCTTGAGTTTTGAAATTTTGAAATTAATTTCACTATCAGTTGGGAAGGTTCTCAAAATGAAACTGTATATGATAACATAGCAAAAATGTCAGACACTTAGCTGGAAATCAAAAGCCCTAAAAAAAATTTAAAACTGAGTAATTCAAAAGTAACAAAAAATTGGTCTTGCTGCCAATGTGTTTTCATTTTGCAGCAGCTTTCAGGGCATGTAAGCCGCTGCAAAATGATAACACATCTACTCATTTAAATATTTATTAAATTAGTTATTGCTTTGTTCTTAAGGGTTAGGTAGATTAGGAACACATCTGATTATAGTGCAAAAGGGAATTACCTGGTGATCAGTACTTAGCTGGTTACTTGTATTCTGATTTGGTAAGATTTATGGTCTAAAAGAGAAGGTCTAGATACTTCAGAGGGGTGAAAGGAAGTTGGCGAGAACAAAGTATATGTCTTTTTTATTTCTTAATGCCAGGTACGTTTCCTGCCTCCCATTTATCACGTCAATGTGAGTCCATCAACTGGTCACGTGTGCCTGGGATTCTTGACTGGGGAAAACTGGCTACCAACCCGTTGTATTAGAGATGTATTAAGTGGTGTGTTCGCTCTACTTATCAAACCTGAGCCTGAGAATGCTGCTGACCAGACTCTGCTGAACATGTTCAATAACAACAAAATGCTTTATGAAGACAAGGCCAGAAAGAGCGCCAGAGATGGCTAGGATGATCAATTTTTTTTTTTTATTTTCAAGTTCTAACTGTTCTCTGCTTCTAAAAGTTTCATAAACCCAATAATTTGTGGCAATTTAGCAACTTTGACTGAGGTCGGAAATTAATTAACTTTATCAGAAGTTAAATTCTTTTTTCCTTTTCAAAATTTGTGCAAAGTGTTTTGCATTTTCCCATTTTCTTACTGGAAGACCAAGAAGGACCAGGAAGAAAGTTCAGTATTACTCAGATTAGGAAATTGAGCATTTTTTCACCTTTCTGAAGTCTATATGCCACCATTTCAGCTGTTCTTAATACTGTTCACATACAGTGATGGTGTTGGTTGCAAAACTGATTTTAGAAATTTATATTATCACCTCCCCAATCCTTTATTTTACCCTTAATAATATGCATGCAAAAGTTTCAGCATTCTTGTTTGTTGAGAACACGTCAACGTAGCCCAAACAATGCAGAAAGTTGAAAATGAGTGCAGAAATGGTGGACAGGTTAAGAATAGTAACAACATTTTAATCTAGAACAAAAACACGCAACAAAGCACAAACAACTGGCTAAAAGTCGGAAAGTCTTGAGCTTCCAGAAACAGCTATGACATGGGTATTGAAACGTAGGAACCGGAGGCCCTGAACAAAATTCTCTCGTAAGTCTAAGCAAAAGTTCGTACGAAAGAGGGGGATTGAATAACGAGCGTGATAGCTTTCGTGTTATTAAGCAAATTCGAACTGAGACAGAGTGCAAACACTCAATTATTCGTGACAGAAGGCTTAAAAGCTTAGGGCAAATTTTGCGGAAAAAACCGGCAACAGCAGCAAGCCAAGAGGCCGCACCAGTGAACCATATACACCCTTAAGAGGAAAACCAGGTTAACTGTGTGCG